AAGAAAACCACTTTAGATATAAAGAAATGAATTGTATGCCATAAAAAAAAAAAAAAAAAAACAGGAAAAGATAAACTATCTTGATCAAAAGAAAGCTGCACATAGGGGAGTGACATCAGCAAAATGGCAGACTAGAGAATTCTGAGAAGCTGACCCTCTTCAGATACACAAAGAAACCTGGCAAAAACAGTCAGAATCAACCTTGTCAAAACTCTGGAAGATGGCCAAAGGTTTACTGCAGCCAAGCAAAGGCTAACAAGGAGAAAAACCACTAAAACACTGTACAAAGCATTGTAGCATTTTTAACTTACCATTGCTCCATCTCACTCCCAGCCCATTGGCAGCCTTGAAGATATCAGACCCTGTACAGAGTGTGGGCACCTGGTTCCAGAGGAAAAAGCAGAGCAAACCTTGTTCTAACTAGTTCAGTTTGTCTGTTTTGATCTGTCTGGGAAGTCCCTGAAGAACTGATCCAAGGGGCATGCCTTTGTTTCACCTAACTCAGAACTTTCTCAGGGCAGAGAAGTAGCTACACAAAGGACTTTCCTCAAAAACACAAAAAAAGCAAATGAACAAGCCACTGCCAAAGGGCCAAAGATTAACCATTGGGGAAAACAACAGACACACCAAACACTTTGTGTACAAGTTTCTTTGCACGCACATGTTTTCATTTCTCTTGGTATATACTTAGGAGTGGATTTGCTGGGTTATATGCCAACATTTTGAGGAACTGCCTGTTTTCCAAAGCAACTGCCCCATTTCACATTCCTACTCTCAGTGTATGAGGCTTCCAATTTCTCCAGATTATCTGAAACACTTATCTTTTTTATTCCAGCCATCCTAGTAGATGTGAAGTGGTTATCTCATAGTCATTTTTATTTGTATTTCTCTGATCAGACTAATGATGTCGAGCATCTTTTCGTATAATCCTTTACTCTTAATGGCATTTTGGGAAGGAGGGTAGATAAACATGTATATTTGATCTACTTTATTTAACTGGAAACATGAAAACTCATTTTAAATGTGTGATAGAAAAAACTTCTTTTACATATTAGAAAACATTTATACGACAATCTCAAAGTTTTAGCAACATGTAGTTTTCTACTTATATTTTTTTTCAGTTATAGTTACTATGTGATTAAAGGACTGCAATATTGTGTACTGAATTTGCTCCGTAAGATTGCTTCTTGTGTGGACTGTGGTTAGGAATTCAAATGACTCCTCGGAGTTGACTTAAAGTCAAAGGAGAACTGATTGCCAAAGCCACTAAAGCTCAATGTGTTTGTCACCAATGCTGTGTACATCTGTTGTACATAAGTGTCTTCCTCATGTGATAAGTATCAAAGGAATGTGACAGCATTGGCAGATGGCACATGGCATATCTTCTAAGAGATGGATGGCAAGATGTTTAAATGGACTTTTACACTTTAATCATAGTGTAAAAGATGGTATGTACCATCCATACCAAATGATAATTGTGAAAGTTAAGTGGTGGGTACATGAGGAGTTATATTGTTCTACCTGCTCTTGTGTATGTTTAACCATCCCTTCAATGAAAGGATTTGAGAAATAAAACATGTTCAGTGCCTCATGAAGGAAGCAGCAATAAGGATAGCTGGTGCTTTGTCTACTTTGATAAATAAGTTCTCGCTCCTCCACCAGGTTTTCATCTTCCAAAAATGTGTTAACTCCTTTTGGTGTACCCTCTTGCATTCTTGTTATCCTCAAGAACTTATTCTTTTTAAATCCTTTAAGTTTTATTGCAATATAGTACACATATCACAAAATTCACCCATTTAAAGCATATACCGTGTACCTATTACAAGGCAAGAATGGATCAGTAAAAAGACTAGAGTTTAGCTATCACTCAGTAGAGACATTTCAGGAAGTATAATTCCTCTGAAGATAGAAACCTTGCAAGGTGGTCGAGCACGATGGTTCACACCTGTAATCCTGGCACTTTGAGAGGCCAAGGCAGGCGTATCACCTGAGGTCAGGAGTTCAAAAGCAGCCTGGCTAACAAGGAGAAATCTCATCTATACTAAAAATACAAAATTTAGCCAGGTGTGGTGGCGCACAACTGTAATCTCAGCTACTCAGGAGCCTGAGTTGGGAGAATCACTTGAACCCAGGAGGCAGAGGTCTCAGTGAGCCGAGATCACGCCACTGCACTCCAGCCTGGGCACCAGAGCGAGACTCCATCTCAAAAAAAAATGAAGAAACCTTGGAAGGAAACAAAGGAGCGATGGACATCGTTTTTGAAGAATTTTTTATGAAACGTTTACATCCAATGGATTCTAGTTTCTCTGAGTGGTGAGGCCAGCACATCTGCTGAGTAAGTGGAGATGGCCTAAACTTGAGAAAAGTGCAGAAGGTTTGAAATACATTTGAGTAGCATGGATGACAAAGTGGACTAACGAAAAATGACCAAAGCTTCATTAGTATTGTTCTCTGTTAGTAAACACAGGATAAGTATTTTTGGATAAATGAGTGAATTATTTCCAGGTAGTGCTAAGGCTGACCATGCAGCATTTATCACGGTGTCAGTAGAATTGTGAGATTTAATCCAATAGTGATTGGTCATTTAAGGGAAGACATTTATGGAAAAGGCAGAGAGATGGGATTTTGTCAGACAGGAAGGATTAAAGGGAATTGGATAAGGCATATTTCAAATAGGGCTTTTTAAATATTGGTTATAGGATAGACCATAAAATCTGCATTGAAGAAGAAGGAAATTAAGACAAGAACTTGGTAGATAGATAAGTAGAAAAATAATAACCCAGTGTGAAAATTTGACAAATTGAGGGCCTAGACTGGAAGGATAGTAGGATGAGGTCAAAGAGTAGAACGTTAGACTGTATTATTACAGATGTAGAGGTGGTTTTAATGAGGTCAGAAATGGTGGCTCATGCCTATAATCCCAGCATTTTGAGAAGCCATGGCAGGCAGGTCACTTGAGGTCAGGAGTTCAAGACCAGCCTGGCCAACATGGTGAAACCTTTTGTCTACAAAAAAAAAACAAAACAAAACAAAACAAAAAAAACAGCTGGGCGTCGTGGCATGTGCCTTTAATCCCAGCTATTCAAGAGGCTAAGGCAGAGGAGAATCGCTTGAACCTGGTAGGCAGAGGTTGTAGTGAGCCAAAAACATGCCACTGCACACCAGCCCGGGCAACTGAGCAAGACTCTGCCTCCAAAAAAAGAGGTGTTTCTGATGATAACTTTTAGATGTTTCTGATGATAGCTTCTGGGTGTGGCAGTAACTGAACTGGAATGGAGGTAAAGGACCCTAAGATGGAATGACAGAGCAATAAGGCCAGGTTATTGGGAAGTCTATCCACATGGATGTTTGGGTCCTCCATGGATTCTCTACATCCACAAGTTCTTTGCTCTGGGCTTTATCCCAATTTTGTGCTTCTTAAGGCCTTCACAGAATCTGAATTATTTCTGCAATCCTAAGCTTCAGACACTGCAGGGTCAGTGGCATAAGCATGGATAGGAAAAGAGAAGGATGGTGAGGGAGCTATAGCGGACATCTGTTTTGTTTTGCTCTCTTTTGTTTTCTTGTGTTTTTGTCTTGACGTTAAGCATTCACAATTTTTCTGGAAAACGTACCTCAAGTGACCTCTAGAAAACTCACCTTATTTACTAGTCCCAGTTTGTGTATGTGGAGTTGCCTTCTCTTCAGACCCCTAATATTTTAAGAGTGCATATGTGCACGCTCTTAGAAATACAGAGCATTCTGTAAAGATTCATAGTAAGCCCCCAAATATCTGTAAACCTCATGCGTAGTCCAGGACTAACCTCTGGACCATGAGCTGCAGGTGTTTTAGACAATATTATATTCCACAAAGCCCATGAAGATCATAGGTGACACCTCCACCTTGACAGGTGCACTGTATACACTAAGGGAAGATCTTGCATGCTGCCAGCAACATGGCTAGAAGGAAGGCACAAAGATCACCTTCTCTAAAGAGAGGGATGCCATGTTAACAACAGCCCTGCAGATACTGTTTAAGTACTTAAAGAACAGCCCCATGTACACTTCTGACAAAATGGCATCTGTCAGTGCTGCAGCACCCTGGCAAAAATCAAGGGGGTGGTGCCTAGATCTAGACTGAGAAAGGGTCCTGATACGAGCATGAAGGGCATAAACCTTTTTCCACCAGATTGGTCATCCTTTCCTAGCTTCACTTTTTTCTTACTTTCTCATTCATTCTAAGGCATCTTTGCCCTACCCTTAGCTTTATTTTACCCCAGGAGGTAGGTGGTTGCCTGGTCAACATTCCTGCCACAGACAGCTAGGTGATCTTTTTGCTCCATAAAAATGCCATCAATCCAGGCAGCATGGAGAAATACACAGGGAGGGGAACTACTTCCCCAAGTGACTTATTAGTAGAAAGACCTCAACGTTGAGGTCAAAATATGCTTCCCTAAATCATCAGGATGCCCTGCTTTTCAAATTCTTAAGCAGCATTCACAGTGTTCCTGATACTCTACCCCAACCAGCAATACCCCAAACACTCCCAACAACTTATACGATCCTGTGGTCAGTGATAACTTTTTTAAAATAGAGATTAAACCACTATTTCTGAAAAATGTACCTGTACTTCACCCTCTCTTCAGATACAGAAGGCCTGTCTTCCTTACTGCTCTAAAGGATATGAAGCAGTGAATGGGGAGGAAGGTGCAGGCTGCCATACAGTATCAGTAAGTCTCAAGCAAAGAGGTAGAAAAGAGCTCATCTCCTCAGACTTCATCAGGGAGAGAAGGGGCTTTTGGAGGCACATGATACTCTTTCCTCCACAAGAGCTCCAGGGGATTGGGCAGATTTTAAAACTCACACTAGGGAGTCAGTAAGAGCTGAGATAACTACTACGTTTCCCTAACCATAAGCTTCGGTTACCCAAAACCTATACCCCGCAACACAGTACACAGAAAAGACATTCTTCTTATTAGTACATTTATTAGGGAGAATCAAGATTCTCAACAAGGAATGAATTATTTTGTAGGGGAAAATTTCCCTCCCTGGAAATGCTTCGGAAGCATTTTCTATCTAGTTAGTAAAGGCACATCACTGAACACAGTGCTTTTAGCACTGGTCGGGACGGCTGGACACACCAGGCTGACCTGATGCCGGCAAGTGGGGTTTGAATGTGGCATAGGCTTCCTTGTGGGTAACGGATTGGGGATGCCTTTGACACAATAGCTTCCCCTTAAATGCCTCAACTTTCTCAGGCTGTCTGTCCTTGTCTGTGTTCTGTCTAATCCTTGTAGGATAATTCTGGCCAACAAAGACAGCTTGTTGGCTGCAAGATTTGGTACATGTCAGTTTGCAGGAGGGAGCCATGTAGTTGCAGGGATAGCCCAGGACAGGCTCTGCTGTGACCTGCACTTCTGGGTTGTGCTGAGCTTTCCCAAGCTCCACTGGGAAGGAAACAGGCTCTTGGGGACAGGTGACATCTATCCCACGCTTATGCCCCAGCTTCACCTCTGGGGAATCCCTAGTGTCTTTCCTAATTTTCTGAGCTTCAGTAGTCCCAATAAAGGCAGCTCTTCTTGTAACTCGACCTCTATTCTGCACAGATGACGACAGGGAGCTACCCTTTGCCCGAGAAATTTCTTGCTCTTCATCTGTTATGCTGGGTTTATTAAACCGCTGCAAAAAGGTCTTCATCCACTTTCTGAAAAGGTTTTCAGGAAGAGGCTGTGTTTTCAAGGTTGGGGAAGATTTGCTCCCAAGCACCTCCCCTGATGTCTTGTTATGAATAGCGTGGCTCTTTCTCCTGAGTTGGGATGTCTCCAACCCTGCATCCCCCCCACCAAGCTCTCCTCCTTTGGGTCTCCTAGGGCTCACTCTCTTTATAGCTGGTGGGAAATTCTTAACTTGACACTTCTGTAAGACATGGGTAGGGACCCTGGGCTCCTGCTGCTGTGCCACACAGATCCCTCTGTCTTCCAAGTGGACATGCAACACCTGGGAAGTTCCCATATCCCCACTGGAGATGCCCTGGGGATGAGTCAGTAAGTCCTTGGAACTCAAGTTCTCTAAGGCAATAGACGTGTCAGTGAAATGGCTCTGAGGTTGGCTATCCTTCCTCTGGACCAACTTTAACTGACTCAGCATCTGATTTTTAAGATATGATGATTTAGGATCTTGGGGAACTGATACTCTTGGTGGGAAAATTTCAGTTTCATGAGATGTGCTTGTTTTCACATTTGTCACTGAGCAGCTTCCTGACTTGCTGGATGTCAAGTTGTTCCTAGTTTGTGATTGAAGAGCACAGCTCTCCTCTTCCTTGAACATCTCCTTCGACCCATTGGTGACAGGAAAGGTCTTTCTACTGCCCTGAAGCCTGTTAACATTATTACTGGCACTCTCTCTCTTATCCTTTGACTCACGGCCAACTCCAGCTTGCATTATGGGCAGCTCTGCGCTGGATCTACTGGCCGGTACAGTCTGTTTCTGACTGACCTCATCTATGATGCT